TCGAGTCAATATAATGATTTGAGTCAGCATAATGATGAAATTTGAACCAAACCATACCCCCGGCCGGGATTGAACCCGCGGTCATAGAGTCTCAAAACTCCAGCCCGTCGCGTTAGCCACTAGACCAGCTAGCCACAATAAGATTCATCCAACTAGGTATATTTCTACACCATAGGAAGGGTAGCACAGGCACCTCTGTGACCACAAATGCAAGTTTTTACAGACGAATCTCCAGCTAGCGTGGCTGTGACGAACTCTAGCTCAAGTCCCTTCACTGCCGTCAACATGACTCAAGAAATCGTAATGACACGATTGCAAACAAACCATACCCCATATGGTTTGTTTGCAATCGTGTCATTACGATTTCTTGAGTCATGAAATTTGAAATTATGCTAGCCAAAATTAGTGCCGAATTACTGATGGAACCGGATAACTGATTGCCGGATTAGTGATGGTCGACCTGTACATTTTTTCCTGTTGATAGTACTGTATCTTGGTCATCCATAGCAGCATTAGTATGGAGTTAGTGAGACAAGGGAAGGGGGCTTCTTATCTGTTGATTGTACCATTCCTTTGGTACACTTCTCTTGCACTTCTGATTATGATATAGAACAGAAATTTAAATATTATCTCATTTTTATATTGTTTGCATGTGTATTAAATTATTAAAGTATTGTATGTACTCTTTGATCCATTACATACATACATACATGGACCCTCGCATAGCGCTATTAATCCGTTCCTGAGAGCTCAATGTTATGCGAAATTATCGTTCTGCGAATTAATTTTCCCCGTAAGAAATAATGGAAATCAAATTAATCCGTGCAAGACACCCAAAAGTATGAAAAACAAATTTTTTTACCACATGAAATATTAATTTTAATGCACACAAACTGAAGAAGACATGCACAGTTACATGACACTTACCTTTATTGAAGATCTGGTGATGATTGATGGGATGGAAGGAGGGGAGTGTGTTGATGGTCTTAGTGTTTAGAAGGGGAATCCCCTTCCATTAGGACTTGAGGTGTCAAGTCCTTTTCCGGGGTTACTTCCCTTCTTCTTTTAATGCCACTAGGACCAGCTTGAGAGTCACTGGACCTCTGTCGCACAACATATCTGTCCATAGAGGCCTGTACCTCTCGTTCCTTTATGACTTTCCTAAAGTGTTTCACAACATTGTCAGTGTAATAGTCACCAGCAAGCAAGGCTTGCAATAGCTGCGTGAGGGTGATTTTCATCAAAAAAGGTTTGCACTTTAAGCCACATTGCACACATTTCCTTAACCCTTTGAGGGTCGACAGGCCCTCTCAGAAACTCGTTCTCAGGGTCGGCCAAATTTAAAAGAAAAAAATTTATTTTTTCTTATGAAAAGAAGAGAATCTTTTCCTGATCATAATGACACCAAAATTATGAGATTTGATGGAAAACTTACGGAATTATGCTCTCATGAAGTTAACGGTCTCGGCGATGTTTACGCATCGGCGATTTTGCCCACTTTGAGCCCCATTTTCGGCCAATTCCACTGTACTAGTCGACAAAAAACATGAATATTTCGCTAGAACTACATTTTTTCTATTGAACGAGTGCAAGAAACCACCCATTTACCATTTTCAACTATCCAATACAGTGGTCAGAATTTAGCAATTTTGCCAATTTCACACAAATTTAAAAAAAATGCCAATTTCCGAATAGGGTCCAGAACAAACAAGAAATACATTCCTGGCAATAAAATGACATTTCCTCTGTTCATTAGTCACATCTCAAGGCCCCTCTTACATTCTTTTGCTTTCCACTTTGAATTTTTATTCTCACGAAAAATAGAAGATTTACTGTTATGCAGATTACTGCATTAGTGTAAAAAATGGTATAAATCATATTGGCGCACTTGCAAAAGAAAGTTAGACTCGCCAGTTGACGTGTATTGGACGCCTGGCATGATTTGTTTACTTTTGAACTTTGGTAAAAATCGAACATTTCTGCTATTTTGAGCTCAATTTCAAGGTACTTTTCATTGTAAAACCAGTCAAAATCATCTCAATTTCTGTGATATGCCTTCCATTCTATAAAATGAGACCAAGAAAACTAGAATACAACAATAAATACCATACGAAAATACAGTGCAAAGTTGCTGTTTTATGCCAAAAAAAACGGTCAGTTTTTTTTTCTCATTATGCACTGTGTGCTGCAGGATTTTTTTTATACCGTGCACACTGACCACATAGACCCATTCTTTCATAAGGAGGCCTACCAGCCTTTTCCCGAGAGATTTGACGGCGCTAGAATTTATGCGTACTAGTACGTCAAAAACCCCTGCGCGTAAGACGTACTAGTACGGCCGAAACCCTCAAAGGGTTAATCTTTGAAGTAAGCAACTTCTTCAATTTCTCTGTCCCCTCCTCCAGAGCAGTTTCCTCAGGTGTGGCCTCTTACTGTTGAAGATGATCTAGCAGCTCATCAGTGGTTAGTTCTTCATTGTCCTCCTCCACCAACTCTTCCACATCCTCCCCACTAACCTCACCAATATGAGCACTAGTTCCAGGCATTTTTTCCTGTTCACCTGGGTGTTAGTCAACTGTTGTGGGTCGCATCCTGGGGGACAAGATTAAGGACCCCAATGGAAATAAGTTAGTCCTCGATGATGCACTGACTTTCTTGGGTTATCCTGGGTAGCTAACCCTCCGGGGTTAATCGTTTCTCGGTAATTGTTTCACGCTAAGCCACACCAACAACACACTGTCCACATCTTCGAGTGATACAGCTGATGGTGGTGCAGCAACAACAACAGCTGACTGTGGTGCAGCAACAGCTGACCGTGGTGCAGCAACAGCTGACCATGGTGCAGCAGCAGCTGTGGTGCAGCAACAGCTGACCATGGTGCAGCAGCAGCTGTGGTGCAGCAACAGCTGACCATGGTGCAGCAGCAGCTGTGGTGCAGCAACAGCTGACCATGGTGCAGCAACAGCTGACCATGGTGCAGCAACAGCTGACCATGGTGCAGCAACAGCTGACCATGGTGCAGCAACAGCTGACCATGGTGCAGCAACAGCTGACCATGGTGCAGCAACAGCTGACCATGGTGCAGCAACAGCTGACCATGGTGCAGCAACAGCTGACCATGGTGCAGCAACAGCTGACCATGGTGCAGCAACAGCTGACCATGGTGCAGCAACAGCTGACCATGGTGCAGCAACAGCTAACCATGGTCCAGCAACAGCTGACCATGGTGCAGCAACAGCTGACCATGGTGCAGCAACAGCTGACCATGGTGCAGCAACAGCTGACCATGGTGCAGCAACAGCTGACCATGGTGCAGCAACAGCTGACCATGGTGCAGCAACAGCTGACCATGGTGCAGCAGCAGCTGTGGTGCAGCAACAGCTGACCATGGTGCAGCAGCAGCTGTGGTGCAGCAACAGCTGACCGTGGTGCAGCAGCAGCTGACTGTGGTACGATAGTATTTATCACCCTTTTTACCAAAGAGTTGGCACCAGAAGCTTTCTTTGGGCCCATGGTGGCTTATTTAGCAGTTACAAGCACTATAATGGAATAATACAAAATGTATCGAATGTATGCATGCAACCGGCCACCCTGGCTTGTAAACAATGACGGCAAGGAAGGCGCTCAGGCTGGGCGGACAGGTTCGGGACGAGTCATGTTCAGAAACAGCTGATGGTGGTGCAACAGCAGCTGACCGTGGTGCAGCAGCAGCTGACTGATCCAGCAACAGCTGACTGGTCCAGCAACAGCTGACTGGTCCAGCAACAGCTGACTGGTCCAGCAACAGCTGACTGGTCCAGCAACAGCTGACTGATCCATCAACAACTGACTGATCCAGCAACAGCTGACTGGTCCAGCAACAGCTGACTGGTCCAGCAACAGCTGATTGGTTCAGCAACAGCTGACTAGTCCAGCAACAGCTGATTGGTCCAGCAACAGCTGACTGGTCCAGCAACAGCTGACTGGTCCAGCAACAGCTGACTGGTCCAGCAACAGCTGACTGATCCAGCAACAGCTGAACGTGGTGCAGCAGCAGCTGACTGGTCCAGCAACAGCTGATCGTGGTGCAGCAGCAGCTGACTGATCCAGCAACAGCTGATCGTGGTGTAGCAGCAGCTGACTGATCCAGCAACAGCTGACTGGTCCAGCAACAGCTGATCGTGGTGCAGCAGCAGCTGACTGATCCAGCAACAGCTGACTGGTCCAGCAACAGCTGATCGTGGTGCAGCAGCAGCTGACTGATCCAGCAACAGCTGACTGGTCCAGCAACAGCTGATCGTGGTGCAGCAACAGCTGACTGGTCCAGCAACAGCTGACTGTGGTGCAGCAGCAGCTGACTGTGGTATGATAGTATTTCTCACCCCTTTTTACCACAGGGTTAGCACTAGAAGCTTTCTTGGGGCCCATGGTCACTTATTTTGCAGATGAAATCACCAAAAACGCTGTAATACGAAATGTTCCGATTGTATGCTTGGATGTTACCGCGGAGGCTGGCTTGTAAACAATGCCACCGACGGAACATGTGAGGCTGGCTCAGGCCGCACATTAGACGCCTCTCGGATGAATAGTGTTGAGCGAGTTTTTTAGCGGTATGCGAGGCAAAATTTTAGTGATAAAATGTATCAGTATGCGGATTTAAATTTATGTGATGCCAACGGTATACGAGGGTCCACTGTATATACATATTCACGTGCATGCATGCATACTTTCTGAATCTATTCCTCTTATCAGACCTTGCTGCTCAATGAAAAACGTTAATGAGAGGTGGCAAATATTTCATTAGATAGCAGTACCCTATGGAATTTCTTGTTAAATGTTGCCATTTCTTCATAAAGCTTATAACTGGAAGAGATTTCAAATTTTGAAGAGTGCAGGTCACCTCTGTCAGGTTTAATGTTCTTTGGAAATTTAAACTTAAAGGATATCATGTACATAAGCTTCATTTTTTTTTAATATATAATGATAAAAGTCCATTGATACAGTTTTGATTGATTTTCCAGGTTTTGCTGTTATTGAAAAATTACCTTTTTAGCAAAATACACCTCTTTGATGCCAAGGATAATCTTTTTGTCAACTGTGGAAATGATCCTTTAGGCAAAGCCCTGCAAGTTGATCGCTTTCATTACACTGATGTCGGGTAAGTACTTTCCATCTTTAATTCATATTGACTTTCAGAAGTATTTATTATTATGGGATTTTATGTTCAGTTGACTGTCAGTTACATTCAGTTGACTGTAATTACATTCTTGAAAATGGCACCTCGTAAAAAAACTCGTCTGAAACAAGCTAAAGAACATATGGGAAAAATAGGGTTACATTAATTGGATTCCTAAAATTGGCAGGCAACTTTTTTTTAGATCTCAGAATTGTAAGATAAAATTAAGTGGCACATTTCTTAGTTTTTTGCTCAGTCCATTCTCTTGATAATTTTTCCAACTTATTAAGCTCCTCTAACCTGTCATTCCTTTCAGGAGGTCATAATTTGGGTTACTTATTGCACAAGCCGTATCATTGCCTTGTTACTTTTAATTGAACAAAATCATGCTTCATTGAGACCATAGGCTCTTGCCATGTCCACCACATGTGCCAGCTTTTAAGCTCATTAATTATAGTTGGCTTTTATAAACAGCAAGTTTCGCATCAGCAGATTTAACGAACAGTGGATTGAAAATATTTGGGGGGAAAAATCCAGAAAGTTCCAAAAAGCAAAATTTGAATTTGCCAGGCACCGATCACTATGCTGGGTGTATAGTGGGGGACAGACCGTGTGGTACAGGCTGGTATAAAACAAAAGATGAAAAAAAAATAGAAAAATTAGTTAAGCTTACAGCTTTAAGATCAACAATCTGGAAACATTTTGGTGTAAGAATCATCTTCATGTCATGTTTTTACAAGGAATTTTAGTGACCACAACATTTCTTGAGGTGATGCCACAGTTAGTATATCCCCGCACATGAAGTGAATTGTCGGTGTTTTTCTGATTTTCTTTTTTTATTATTTTTTGTATTTTGTTTCCTAATATATTTAAATTGCTATTTGGCATCGTTATAAAGTGGGAGGAGCTAAGGCAAACCAGGGAGAGGCACGATGAAGATGCTATGACAGGAAGAAGCATGTTGCTCACTGTTTTAAAAACTTGCCTCTTCTGGAGGTATCTTGTAGACTGCTAGGGTAGAGTGGAAGGTAGTCAAACTGAACTAGACTATCAGTTTATTCATGAGGAACTAATGACACAGTAGGCAGAATGAGAGGTTGCCAGAGCCAGTCCTGGGAGAGATGGTGTTGATGGAAGGTTTGCTAGGCAGGAAGTGAAGACCAGGTAGGGAAGCGTGGGCTTACCTCAGTGCCTGACATCTGGTGGGAACTTTAGAAAGTAGGCCTACAGCAGTAACTAGTGGGAATTAGGTGAGCTGAGTATGTAGACTTACTGTCTACACTACGGCACTATAAAATGTTGGATATTTATGCTATTATTGATAATTGTGTTTATTTATCTATCCTCCAAAATGATATTAGACGTACAATAAATGCCATACAAACATAATACAGATGCTTAGATAAATGAAAGCTGACATAATGTGAGGAGAGGTCAACCGCCAAGTTCAACTGGAGTGTACACGTAAGATTATACAGTGAAACCCCTGGTTTCGGCCGGCGTAGCGGACCTGTCCGCCTGCCATGCAGGCGTCATCAGCCAGTCTAGCATTGTTTATCCTTGAGTGAACATTACCCTGCGCTGCCAGCCAGCCATCCAGCTAGTCAGCCAGGCAGCCAGCCAGCCATCCATCCAGTCAGCTATCCAGCCAGCCAGTCAGCCATTAATGGTGACTGTGAAAAGTATACAAAGTGGAATGAGTTGCAAACTGAAACAAGCCATAACTGCAACATCTTCAGTGACAAAACCTTGTCCCACTTCAGGGAAATCTTAGAGATGCCAGAAACAGAGCACTCTTGACAGTTATTTTGTGAGACAGGAGTTCAGTGACTCTCAAGCTTGTCCTAGTGGTCTTCAAAGACAAAGAAGGGAAGTAACCCCAGATAAGGACTTGTTACCTAAAGTCTTTATGGAAGGGGATTCCCCTTCCAAACAATAGTCCTCCCTATCTTCCAGATGCCAGCAAGTCTCTTCAATAAAGGTAAGTAAATGTTATTTTAAATGTTTATTTAAATTTTAATTTATCTATATAATATATGTATAAGGGGAAGTGGAACAGAATACTTAGCCTCCGTAAGCACATGCGTGTCGTAAGAGCGACTAAAATGATGCGGGGCAAGATAGTGCTAGTAACCCCCTTCACCTGTATATATTACTAAATTTAAAAGGAGAAACTTTTGTTTTTCCTTTTGGGCCACCCCACCTCGGTGGGATACGGCCAGTAAACATTGAAAGAAAGAAGAATAAGTATTTATCTGTGTTGTATGTAAATACTATAGTTGTATTTTAAAAAATGTATTTTTTTTTGTGAATATTTTTTGTGGGTCTGGAACGATTAAATTTTATTAATTATTCTTAGGGAAATATTCCCTCGCCATCTGCCATTTGCTTAGGCCTAGCTCCTTCCTGGACGGATTTAATGGCTGAAACCACCCGGTGTTTCACTGTAATTTATATTCTCTCGGGACCATAAATCTATAGAAAACATGTACACATTGTGTGTAACTGTAGAAAAGTTACCCCTTGTTACAGATCAATAAAGATTATTTTTCCTGAATCGAATGAAAGAGTGAAGTGAAGCAAAATCTGAATAAAGCCTTAAGATATTTGATGTGTGGTGAAGTTGGGAAGAGTAAATATGGAGAAAAAGAAGAGGTTAAGAAGTTGGAGAAGCAATGTAAAAAGGAGCAATGAAGAGTGGGTGAGATTGGTTATCAACAAATTTTTTTGAAAATAAGAAAAAGTTTTTGGAAAGTAGATTACGAAGTTAGGAAGCCTAAGAACAAATGAGTTGTCCATTTAAAAATAGATAGGAGAGTTATTAAATGGAGAGATAGATGTAAAGGGAAAGATGAAGGAATATATTGAGAATGTTAAAATTATGATTAAAGATCGAAGCTATATTTCGTGTATAGGCAATGAGGAATAACATCTTGGTAGGAGTGAGGAAGACCATTGTGAGTGTGGGGGAAGTTCGTGAGGCAGTAGTAAAAATGCAAAGGGGGTAAGCAGTGGGATTGAAGTATAAAGATAGAAATTTAAAAATCAGGTGGTAAATATTTATAAGTAGATATTTTGGTGCAATTATTTAATAAAAGTAATGGAAGAGTGCGTACCTAGTGATTAGCAGAGAGCCTACATAGTACCCTTGAATAAGGGCAAATGGGACAAAGAGAGTGCAAAACTATAGGGGGATATGTCCTTTTTTGTTATTAAAGGGGAAAAGTACCTGTATGAGTAAAACCTGTAAAGAGTCAGGTAGAGTTATTATTGAAAAATTAAAGTAAGATGGAGGAATAGGATAGCAGATGAACAAGGAGGCTTTAGAAAGGTAGGGGATATGTGAAACTATTGTTTTACAAGTGAAACATATAAGTGCACAGATTAAATTAATTAAAAGAAAAAAAAGGCTAAAGAGGTTTTTGTGGCATTTATGGTAGTTATTATATAGGAAGAAGGCGTATTACAGGTGGATAGGGGGGCAAAGTAGCAGATGTATGCAGGTGTATGGTGTAGGAGTAGATTACTGAAAGCAGTGAAAAAGTTTTAACGAGTATATGAGGCTCAAGTAAAGTAAAGTCGGAAATGAGGGAGATTATTTCCCAGTAAAATATGCCTTAGCACAAGGTGTGGCAGTCACCGTGGATAGTTAAATAAATTTCATAGATGGGGTTTGTAAGAAAGAAATGCGAGGGTCTTGGCAAGAGGCGAGGAGTTAAAAGATACAGAAATCACACATAAAGAGGGAGTAGTCACAGATGCTCTTTGCTGCTGACACATAAGAACAGAAGAACATAAAGAACAAAAGGAACCCTGCAGAAGGGCCTACTGGTCCCATGTGAGGCAGGTCCAAGTCTCCTACCGGTTTAAAGCCAATGCACCCAAACCTAGTCGGGTCAGGTCACATTGACTTAAGGGGGGAACACGGCAACCGACCTGGTAGCACAAGCTACGGGGTCCAACCACACCCACCCACACCACCATGTTTTTTCCAACCATTTTTAAAGTCAAAAACGTTCGGCCCTATGACTGTACTGGGAGTTTGCCCATCATCCCAACCTTTTTACCAAAACCAGTACTTTCCTATATCCTTCCTAAATCAAATTTTTTTTCCAAACTTAAAACCATTGTGGGTCCTATCAAACTGTATTTTCAGCACACTTTTTGCTCCCCTTTTTTTTTCCTGTCCCCATTTAACACCTAAATCATACCCCCCCTAATTCACGTTTTCTGAGTGCAGATTCGGGGCCCTTAGTTACCTCATGGGGAAGGTTTTGATACAGGGTCAACTTTGTCATCCCCTTTGTACATTTTCCAGAGAATTTATACCATTCTTAATAGGGTCCAAAACTGTGGCAAATCTAAATGGGGCCTCCAAGGTTTGGTTGAAGAAAAACCTGGGGACTCCTATTTTTATGTTTCTTGTATGAAGCCCCCGGATTCTATTAGCTTTATTGCGACACTAGAAAAAATTTTTTAATTTCCCCTCTCCTCTTTTGATTTGCCCATATTGCCTCTCTTTTGACCCAAACAGATATTTTAATCTTTGTTTATCCATTTTGGATCATTTTTGTTTTATCTATTCCCAAATTTTGGGCTAATTTTTACTGGCGCTAGAACTATGCCCCGGAAAGCTCTATCGGGAACCATCACCCCTACCTGACCTTAGTCAGGTCATTCCGTTCAGCCCACCTAAGTAATTTTTCGTCCTATGAAATCAGCCAAGCAAAGTCAGGGGGGGGACTTGATTCCATTGTTAGGGGAATTTTCCTGATTTAAATTTTAAAATGAGTGTTTGTGATCCTTTCCCCAAGTCATCATTAACCCAAAATTATTAATTAGTGTTTCCCCACTGGCAAGAACCAAGTCAAAGGGGGTTATTTCCCCCAGTTGGCTCTGTCAAAATGTTTTAAAAAACAATCCTGGTCGTATCAAGAAAGCCCTGACCTAAATTTCCTGTCAAATTCTCCAGCAATTGTCTA